TGGAGGGGCGCGGGAACTGCTCCGCTCCCGCGAGCGCCGCCGCTGGACGGACACCGGGACCGCTTAGACCTGGGGATCAACAAATATCATTATAGAAGAGCACAAAACTAGCACTGCTTGGATAGATAATACTCTGCTACTAAAAGCTAACAACACGAAGTAACTTACAACCTTTATGAGCTTGAGTTCAGATTACCTAATATCTAGCTTATCTATAATCTATACTCATATTATAAAGACGAAAAATTTGTATTTTTGTATGTATAGAAAGAACTCAAAATCCACTGGCCATATAAATGTCTCACCTAAGGTATTCTCCTTCCGATGTATGACCCTGGCCTGGGTCATGCTGCCGAAGGGGAACTCGCAGCGGTCGGAGGTCGGCGTGGGAATGTTCTGCGGTATCTTGCCGTCCATCGGGCAGACGGTGTTGGGCGACTTGAAGTTGTCCCGGGGAGTGGATGCCGAGGAGGAGGGCGTCTCTGATGATGACGAGCCCTCCCCCTCCGAGAGCAATCGCCCAATACCCCCCAGTCCAGCCAGCAACTCGGAGTTTGTTTGCCTTGACGAGTTGCCTTCTGTAATAATAATAATAAATAATGAATTAATGCTTTTGTAAATAATCCTCCTAAAAATAATTCGATTATTGACATCAGCTCACTACACTTCTCCATTGAGGGGCTCGGAACCTACCCTTAATTAGGGGAGACAAGGTCATAGTCAACCATGCTCGGCTGGTGCTGGTAGATTTAACACATATCTTAGAATTTCTTCGCCGATATGTGCAGGCAGCAAAATGTATTCCTTAAGCGTAATAACGTCGGGTAAATTATGTACATATAAAATTCGAAAATTGAAAATCACATTAGTACACCGGGATTCGTACCCAAGACCTTTAGATTACAAGTCAAGTTAAACCCCTGAGCCACCGACACTCTTGAGGATGTTAACAAATTAGTGAATCACAATAACAAGTTGAAGAAGACATTGTTTTATTCCTCACCATCGGTGTTATCGGTGTTGATCCTGAGCTCTGCGCCGTGCTGCAGCCGCAGCGAGACCGCAGCGTCGCCATCCAACTGCACCGAGAGTATGCCGAGCGCACGCAGCTGCGGCGCGCCGGCCGCCGCGAGCGCACGCAGCCGCGCTGCAGCCGCACGCGGCACCGACAGCGTCACGCGCACAGAGTTCCAAGGTTCCACCTGGAAATAACGCGACAGGACTTCAGTTGTGTATTCAAGATAGTATAACGTATTTCTATACATAAAAATGCTAGAAAAGTACAATTTTTAACAAAACAAAAGGTTTATTATTAGAGTCTTGAACATTGAAATAAAATAATAGGCCTACTAGATTTCGCCCGCGACTCTGCGTGGAATTGAAAAAGAAAGTGAGTGGACTATGTTCTTCCAGACTATCCTCTACATCTGTACCAAATTTCTTTGAAACCAATTATGTCGTTTTAGCTATCCATCTAAACTTTCGTATTTTAGATGGATGCATGGTATGATGACGTCACATATCACTATTTTACATACGAGTTGTGTTTCAGTGTAAAATGTCAGTTGTTTCGGCAGTAGAAAGCAATGGTAATGTAAATCTTAATAAAAAACATTTTTTATGTTTAAGAAAATGAATAATTTATGAAGCGTAATGTATTGAGAATAAATCGAAAAGGAAAAATGCGTAATTTCACCTTCCTTCCCGTCGGTGTAGTGAACTTTTTGACCTTTATTCGTGAGTAGACTTTTTTGTATTGTTTTTTTGTGAACTACAATATTGAGTTTGCTTGTATTCGTAAAGTTTAACAACGCCCTCAAGACCGTAAACTTTATTGAGGTGCCAGGGCTTAAAGAAACTAACATAATAAATTCTTTAAAATAAAGCATTTTTAAATAAACTAATTTAAGATGCTTTAAAAATTGCAATAAAGCATGACATGGCAAAATGGACATTTCCTTCTTGATAATTATTTTTCGAGGTCATTGACATATTATGATAATTACGAAATTATTTTTTAAAATATCTACCAACACCAAGTTTGTTTTCCCTCTTCCCCAATATTATATGCAAATCTTTTAACTTAGTAATAAAAAAATTTTAGTATCAAAACATATTTTTATCTCCGTCTTCCAGAGACAAAAGTATGCCTTCCTGCTGTCTTGAGTGAGACAACAATAAAAGTATTTCTACAGTGGAAACAATTCCTACATACTGCTTTGGACCAGAACTAGCATAACAACCGTAATTAGGGCCACATTAGCATCAGTGAATTAAATCCGTGACTGTAACCAAAGGCAAAATCGCAACAACCATGACGTCATCTGACGTCACTAAATTAAATTTTAAATTTGTTCAACATACTCATACAGCAATTATAAAATTCAAGATGGTCGAATTCTATTATTATAAACTCAAAATCCTAGAATAAGGAAGATATCACATAAACTGAGGGCTTATATAAGGTAAAAGATATACGAAGAAAGCCGCGCGAGGGGAATTCCATATTACAAGTAAACATGATTGTCTATAGAAAATCTCCTGTAACTCTAAGAGTTCTACTTATAAACTTATTCCCAAGCGGTCTAAACCATCTGAGTTCAACAAAGGATCCAAGCAGGAAAGTAGCCGGAGGAAAAAAATGTGGGATCACAACTTCTTGTAAATACTTGGAGAAGGGTGTTCATCAAAATCAATAATACATTGAAAGCGGCTCTACATGAAAAACGATTAGCTACAACTATCTCAAAGAGATACAAAAAATATATAGATTAAGCATAATTGAAACTTTACTTGAACATTTTTAAATAATCTCACTAACACTACCTGGTGTCTGATAGTCAAATTAATTCAAAAACTTAGAAGCATCTCGGCCAAAATAGACATTAAGATATTACCATACAAAGGTATTACCAGTGAAAAAATGTTGTTCCCTGGTTATTCTATATTTTTAATTATTTCATAAATATCTTTAATTATTAACCTCTTTCTATAAGAGAAGGGGGCAAACAATCGGCGGGAACACAGAGGTGGTCAATGACTCCCATGGACATGCAAGACCAGAGGAACTACAGATGCGTTGCCGGCCTTTTAGGAAATTGAAAGATCGCTTCTTGAAGGAGCCTAATTTGTGTTGGTTTGGAAATACCGCCGCGGACAGATCGTTCCATAACATGGCCTATTACTGTAATTATATATTTTTATTATTTACCTTATTAACTTTGAGCGTGTGCGGATGCGGCTCGGCGAGCAGCGCGCGCAACTCCCGTAGCAGGCGGCGCAGGCGCGCGGGGAAGCGCGGGTCGTGGAGGTCTCCCTCGCAGGTGACCACCACGCCGCACGAGCCCCCGCCCCCGCCCCCACCCGCCGAGCCTAGCCCATCGCTGTCCGCTGCCATGCTGTATGTAAAAAATAATATTATTTAATGCATTTTCAATCGCCTTATACGTGGCCTTGTTGAGGAAAATAACCCTACCTCGTGTTAGGGGTGAGAAGTCCTAAGACCTTTGCCATCTGGTTGCCAATACACCATAACAACCATGACTATAACAGTGAAAGACAATAGTTTAGCACATAATAAGACTGTTTTCTTTTTTTAAAAGACTAATGGCAACATTTTTAAAACAGTGTCTACAACAGCGGAGACTCAATAGTATGTAGACTATAAAATCTTATAATTTCCTGTAGTATTGTGGACTGGTATTTTGATATTGAAAATAATCATCAATAGCAATTATTATAAAAAGCATTTTTATATAAAACATTGTATGCTTCTATTTAATTAAAAAAAGCAAGGTCACTCAATAATTACATTAATAACCAATAATTTCTATCAATATAGAGAAAATTATTGTTATTGTGGCTCTGTACTTTTAATTATTTCCTTTTAGATAAAACATATGTCAATATATTAATTTACTAGTAGGTCCACACTTCAAACCAAAAACAAATGTAATAAAAATTTCTCTTAACCATGTTAAGTTCAACCTCAGCCTTATAATATTTAAATAAAAAAAAATAAAAAAAGATAGGTAAACCTTTCAGATTCATTCATTATTATTTAATCTTATATAACGTAATTGAGATTACATAAAATAAACTACAAAACTAGCAAACTAGTCTTGTTTCAATTTAATCACTATGTATGATTTTATCAAATTAAAAAGATTTTATAAGGTCTAGGGAGGTCCAAAGAGTATTTGCCTTTTTACTGGTTTGATATTATGGAACTTTTCTTACCAGTTAGTTCCTTTTTGGGCATTTTGAGCGACTTCCCAAAAGAAGGGGGTACTCAATTCATCTGTATGTTTTTTTTTGTTTACTGCCTGCCTAAAATTGTGTTAACCACAACCAGCATGCGCATATTTCTAAAAACTACAAAGACGATTGGTCTTTATTTAGGAATACACATATTATAAAAATGGAGTGTCTGTATGCAACATTGAAAATCTAATTTCGTATACATGACGTATTTGCGTTGCTGATAACGAAAAAACAATTTTTTTAGTCCAATTTAAATTGAACCCTACAATTTGGATGTTCATAATATGAGTTGACAGAAACTATGGAAATAACCAGAAAAAGTGGCAACAAATTTATGAATTTTCGTAACATTTAGTATCAGTATACAAACAAATCAAGCTTCAACGTAACATTATGGATTAGTCACCTTTTCTAATTTTAAATCCATTATTGCCATGTTCTTTATGTAATATTATTATAAAATTATTCATAGTGTGTATATAATGTACATAGATTATGCAACTGTAGCACAAATGGAGTAAGCCTCAAAGTACAATAGATAAAGACAGCAATAATATTTAGTAGTAGTATAGTTTATTAGGCAAAGTTAAAGTTTTTTTTTTAAATCTATTGTATTTTCTTCAACATCCACATGAATTACAAAAAAAAGATACCACAAACTGTATTATCTATTAATTTTTTTTATTCACTAATATGGCAATAATTAAAACTTTTCGATTTTCTTGACAAGAATAAAAATCAAATACATCGAAGCAGTGGTTCCCAAAGTGTGGATGGACACCCGAAGGTCCACAGCAACCTAGCAAGGGATACAATGGCGGGAAAAAATTAAACGTTCAAAAGTTAAAAAAAATTATAACAGAGGTTCATTGAAAAAAACTAAATTTTGGAAAGGGTTTAAGAAAAAAGGTTGGGATTCTCCACTTTAAATACTAGTAACATAAAAAACCTTATCTGCCTACCAATAAAAAGTAAATTAAATTATCATACTTTATTAGTGGGTTTACATTATTTTTATACACTCAGATCATCAGGCCTAGTTACCTCTAAAAGAAAATAATCTCTAATTCTCATTGAAAAACCGAGAACAATTTTTATTTGTACATAATTTAGAGCAATGGAAATTAATCATTTTACTTGATGTCAGTTCATCACAAATGTAATAATAACATTCATTGTTCTTACACATTTCTAACTTCACTATGTTTCATTCAATGTTTACTACAAGATTCTATCAAGTCAATGGGCAATTTAACCTTAACCTCAGTTTGTCTGACTCAAAAGTTTTGAAAACAATAACGGTGAGTCTGCACTGTTGTAATACCTGTATTCTAACATAGTTAAAATTCATGGTCTGTGTTATACTGTTGACATTTTACTAATGTATGGATGGATGGACATAAAAATGTTTGGCATTAAATTACTACTGAAGTGCTGGGATCTTGAAATTTGGAATTGAGATTACAGTCTAGGAGAGTGATTCCTAAAGTGGTTGAAATGGACCCCCTAGAGGTTAACAGAAGATGAAGGGGGTAAACGATGGTGGGAAATAGAATTTACAAGCTAAAAAATTCCAATAGAATTAGGTTCATTGAAAAACAGTTATTTTGTAAGGGCTCTATTAGAAAAAATGTATCTCTCTGGTCTAGGATATAAATTACCAAGGCTTTTTTTTTAATACATTCAGAAGTCACAGGCAACAGCTAGTGTACTTCCAAGTATAAGCAGAAATCAATACATAGTACAAATAAACTTATTTCATTGAAGTCCATTAGTTAATGACTATACAATCATGTTGCTAGAGTCAATGATCTATACCGGTCATGGTCAAGGGCCACCACATACATAAACATACATAGTTTGTGTGTAAGGTAATTATGTTAATTTACAATTATACTTGATTTCTTTGAATTTGATTGGTAATAAATCTCATCCCTATTCCTAGAAGTGATAAACAGTGCTGAATATAGTAATAAGTGAAACAATTACATCATACTAATATAATAAATGCGAATGTTTAGATGGATGGATGGCTAGAGTTTATAGACTAAGTGGTTGAACAGAAATTTGAAGATGAAATTTCATGTAGATTTAGAGGATAGTCTGGATGAACACATAGACTAATAATTTCAATAAGGACGGAGTTGCAGACGAAAGCTGTAATGTTATACTAAGTAGAGCATTAACATTAGTTTTTCCCCTATAATAGAGCACTTTTAAGCATGAAAATATTAAATTCCTTTTGCACATTATTTCTGTGTCTATTGACCTTAATATGTATAATATAGATATTTAATATTTACAGTAATATGAGTGAAAGTATGTAAACATTTTGAATTCACAAATATTAGTACACAATCTGATATCTAGTATTAAAATGCCTAAAATGTTGCTATCTCTATATCTTTTAGGAAGTTATAACAGTGTTTTTCAAGTTGTTTAAGTACTAGAAACTGACAGTTACTAAACATACTGTTGTAAGAGTATAATAGCTTTTGCCCACAACTTTAGATGTAGTGTTATTGTAGTAGTTCTAAGCACACTCGGAATTCTTTCACCTTTCTACCTACATCCTTTCAGTTCTACATCAATACCAAATGTCTACCAGATCTGTGCATTCTGGAGATATCCTTAACAAAAATCCGTCCAAATTTTTGTATTTTTGTAAATCTTACTAAAATTAGTAAGATGGAAAATGGTAATTATCAATCAAAGATAAAAATTCTCATTAACACAATCTGATAAAAATATCACAGTTTAGGCATACAAAAACATGCATTGTCATGGAATTTTAACTACTAAAATTAGTGTGAACTTTAACAGGGCCCAAAAATTATCAAATATATACTAAATATCCAATTTTCTCATAATATATAAAACAACCATAATTTGTTGGTTTTAAAATATGTTAATGTCTAAATACACTTAAAAATCAATATATTTTGATTTTAAAAGTTGTTTAAAATGTTTAAGACACAATAAGGATTAAAAATGGCATAAACATAAGTTTTTGCTTAATTGCAATTTTAAAATAATATTAATTAAATGACTAATGTTATTTTTTGACAGTATTAAATCTAATAGGGAATATTATACCTCTCTTTATTATTATTTTTACAAAACTATATCATAATAAACAAAACATACATTAGAAGAACCTAATAATTAATTAAATAGGCAGTTATTTTAGAAACCACACACATTGTGAGCGAGTTCCTGTTTTTACAGTCCTGACCACTGGTTGCTTGAGTTATCTGATTCCTAAGTTTGTGGTTCAAATTTTTTTGTTATAGGAATTTAATGTTTTTTTTATAAAGATATGTAAAATAAATGTAAAACATGTAAGATGTATGGAAATAAATAATTACTAATCATATTTGCCATTTTTAATTTTAATTAAACCTATTTAAATCTTGATATAAACAATAAAAAATTAATTAGTTTGGACAACCCAGTAGAAAACAAGGTTATGTTATGAAATCAACAATTATTCATTAGTAATTAAATTAAAATATTAAACTAAGCAAATTAAAACTTATTGCAAGTTTGTCAAAAAGTTTAAAACGATTCTAATAAAAATGTACTACCTAACCTAAAATATTTCAAAGAACTACGATTTTTATAAAATCGCTAATATTATTATTGTAATACGTCAATAATATACGCTAAAACAAAAGTTAATGACTGTGTAAATATATTTCGTTAAACGGAATATTTCATAGATCATCGACAAGGTCGTAATTTCATAAACTATGCCGCATGTTACACAACGAAAATATTATTATTTTACAAAATCAGTACTTTTATAAGTTGTTTGCCAAAATTGGGTTTCTTTTACGTCCTACACCGCGCGGTTTACACCACCGACCGATCTCCTGTCAAGCAATGTATCCATTTTGTAAGGACATCTATGTTTGACACCCCTCGAAATGTAAATAAACTAAAAAAAGCAACTCACCTATCATACAATGTCACATTCCGCTCAATAACACAAAATTTCTATTGTCTCGTGTCCCAAACCATCCTGGAAAATGAAGCTGAGCATTACAATCCGCCGGACGCAAGGCAATATCGGTCCTATGGGCACTTGTCCTGTCCACTACTTCAGCAACATATGATATTGGCCACTATTGTTCCGCCCCAGGTGTTCCCGGGGCACTGTCCACAACTTATTTTAGATTTTTCACATATAGTCACAAGCGTACAAATACGCGAATTTCAACACGAATCTAAACCACTGATTTATGTTCCAGTGACGCAAAGCTCATATATCGTGAAGAGCAGCAGCCATTTTGAAATGTACGGGGAGTGCAATCACGGCATGGAACAATCGTAATTTGTAGACGTTCTCGTCCTCTGCCGATATTCAATGATGTCGCTATGTACAAATCAGTTTAGGCATTTTCCATTTCCACACTTTAGGTCACAAAACTTCACTCCATATTCCTATTGAAACTGTCCAAAACAACCTAAGCGACATCCGATAATTCCAGCTTACCCCATTTGCATGACACACATAGAATTAAAAGAAAACACCCAAAACACATAAAATCGTACATAAAACGTATCGCGCCGAATCATAAGAAGTTAACGCATCTCATCAGTATAACAGTCCAGTAGTAAAATCGCTAAAAAGATTGGTATATATTTTACAAATAGTTATTCGGTACGAACAATAACAACGGCCGCCATTTGCAATTTTCAGCTTGACATGCGCATTGACTCGATGTAGACAACATACGTGGTATACTTTGAATGTAGTCCATTTAACAAACCAAAAATATCATCATTCGCAACAAGCAAAAAAATTAGTTTTAATTTAACTAAGTCAAATTAAGAGATACTAAAATTATACAGAATTAATGGTCACCCTAACTTCTGAATTTATTTATTTTTAACTTAATTAGTACGCCTTTACAAAGTTCCATCATGGAAAATTCATGCTCGACTGATGACTAAACCTGATTGGTGCTTATCATAATCTTCATATTCTTGTAAAAATATGAACAATTTCGATTGGTTCTCACCATGAAACGTGAGGACACGATTCACTTCCTGTTTTCTTGGCGATAATAAAAATAAATTTGAATATTATAACTTCATGGTTTTATTGAAGAAAAAAGTCTGTAGTTTTATCATAGCTTGACAAATTTGCAATACAACTAAGTTCCTAAATAAAACCATTTTATACATTTATGCAATGTTATTTCTGTGCTGGTATGGGTACTGATTGAAATAATCCCTTGCGAGCCATTTCATCTGCCCAGTCTTGGAATTCTCCTTTCCTAAAATAAAAACACGAGTTGTAGTTTAAACTCAGTAATATACAAAAAAATAAGCTAAGTCTTTGTCGAAATAGAGTTAAAAGGTGTTCTTATAAGCCAATAACGACCTATTAGGAAATGGAAAATAAGTCAGTGAGAAAATATCACATATGAAAGACAATCAAGAAAATTCTAGCAGTGTGTCAGTCTTTTTTCTTCATTTATAAAATAATAAGTAGATAATTACTTATTAGACCTTCGGTTATTACAATTACAACAGTTATCCAGGATAAAATTTCGAACGGTTAACCACCAAACATTAAGCAAAATACTGTTTTTGTTTATTTTAATAATACCTAATTGAATAATTACAAATATTGAAACTAATACTTTTTTGTTCTCAAAGATGTACAACCTAGTTTGATGATATCTGTATTTTGGAAAATGAATGTAGTGCTGTAATTGTTATGCAGTCTGTATTTTACAGAAGTAGAAAATTGCTTGTGCTTTGAAATATTGTTGAAGTGAAAGTAATTGATAACAAAAACCTTTTTACAGTAAAAGTAAATGAAGTATATCAAGTTTATTTAAACCAATTATCATCGGTGTTTTGGTGAAGGTAATTTTATATAGTATTGGTCTAAGCTTAGCTATGTCAATTTTGTTATTTTGTATAATTTTGAATTACAGCATTCGTATTTACTAAACATTAAATAATTTCGATAAATACGCTTTAATACACTGCTAAAAATTACAAATATGTTTTACGAGTTATCGTCAAAAAGGTTTTATTGATTCCATAGCAGTAACAAATATTTTTTTAATTAAAATGCCTATAAAGATGCTACTGTCGTTTTGTTTTATCATTCATAAACTTATTTTTTAATTTACTTAAGGGCTACGTTAATGAATCAGCCAACCAACACTAAATTAATAGCTTAAATAGGTGGCTGTTTCAACAGTTTTTAAATTTGAATTTAGAATATTGTTAAAACTGTGGTCAATGATAAGCCCGTAGAGAAAGTCATGTTTTGTACTAACTCATTTACTTATTACTTATGATATTTATTTAGAAATGAGCTAATAGAGGTTTAGGAATTATTCGAAAGTCAATTAAATACTTACTCATAGAATTCACGATACTTTTGTCTCCTCGGCAAACCAATAAAGAAATATACTGATGCACCACTTAAAATCGAGAGCAATATAGCTTGAGTCAGTATACGTTTTGTCTGAGCCCAGTGCAACCCTCGCATTACAGGCTTCACCAGACAGGGAGGCTTTAGTGGTGGAGGAGGGCAGTCCCGTGGTGGACATATAACCGCTGAAGGCTTCACACATGTAGACATCTTGTTGGCTATAAATAAAAAAAATCTATGCAAAAAAAGTATGTGTGGAATAGAATATGGGTTGTGTCCTTTGATCTCTTTTTTATGTTCTAAATTTTTACATGGTCACAATAGACAAAAATATTTGGTGATTTATATGCCAATTATTATATTAGATTAGATAGATTAGAAAATCTAAAGTAAGAAGCCTATGTGTTCTTCCACACCATGTACTATATCAAGCCAAATTACATCACGATCTATTGAGCCCTTCTGGAGATAGCTTCTAACTAATATCCATCCATCTAATTTTTCTCATTTATAATGTTAGTAAGAAGTAATATTTGGTGTATAAATGGCTACAATACTACAAACTATGTTAAGGTTTAACTGGCAGATAGTCCATTTATTATCTATTTCTAGTTTAAATAGATATGTGTACATTTTTAAATTGTGAAAATAATATTCACAGAAACACAAATGAAAAATGGCTCAAAGTTCTCACGGAGGCAGCCATCGGCGCAGCCGCGATCCCGAAGGCTCCATGCGGTACACAAATACAGATTGGGAAGCGAAAGAGGCACTCTACCAACGAGAATTAGACGAGGCTCGAGCCAGAGCCTCTCAAATGGAGAAGACTATGCGCTGGTGGTCAGATTGTACAGCAAACTGGCGGGAGAAGTGGTCTAAAGTACGAAACGAACGTAACAAATCCAGAGAAGAAGCGAAACAATTGAAAAACAAAGTCGACATACTTACAAAAGAATTAACAACTTTGAGAAGTGAAAATCATGATTTGGAACAAAATTTAACAGAACTCAAAAGAGATAATGAGAAGCTTCTAAGTATTGGAGAAAGCAGAATAGTATCTGGAGATCTTACGACTGATGATGGAGTAGAATTACGAAGAAAAAATGTAGGATATGTTTCTCCAAACGAACCGTCTGTAAGACAAAGAGCTTCATTAGATTCTCACAAATTTTCCAACATGGATAATGTTCTCGCGAATAAATTGAGCGAAATGAGACTACGATTAGACGATACGTTTAAAAATCTACAAACAGAAAAGGATCAAAAAGCATTTTTACTAGCTAAAATAGAAACTTTGACTGCTGAATTGCATAATGCAAAAATGGAATTAACACATAGTGATAGAACTCTAGGTTCTACAGACTCTAGTCACAGTGAGGTTGAGAGATTACAAAACGAATTGCAAGATGAGATTGCAGCTAAACAAGTACTGGAAGAGAAGATGGCGGAGCTTAAAATGGAAATAGAAAGATTGAAATCAGAGAATAACATACAATGGAGTAAAAGGGAACTTTTAGAAACTGAGAATATAGCTATTTTGCGTGAAAATAAGAAATTGTACAGTCAAGTATGTGAATTAAGGGAGCAAATACATAAATTGAATAGAATATCAGATGGCAGCGCTTATGGTATAACGGGTGACCATTCAAGAGTCAGTTCAAATGTTCTATATGTAAGGAAAACAAGCATAAGTCCCAGATCACATGAATCCAGTAATGGTTCCTCGGAAGCGAATCTCGCACAATTCGACACAAAAACAAATACATCTGGTGAAGAGGATGAGTTAGCGATAGTTGAGAGAGGTGAAAATTGTTAAAAAATAATATATAAATATTTACCTCTATTTTTCACAATATAAGATTGAAATGAATCCTAGTAATGTCACAATTTTTTAAAACAATTGGCTGTCACAAATTAAAATAAAACAAAAAAGAATAGTGTAGTAAAATCAAAAAGGTTTGTTGTTTTAACCTTTTTAATGCAGCTTGCTAAAACATTTTATACAAGAGCTTTAATAATTACAGGATTAAATAAACGGCAGTCTTAAAATTAATTACAAAATAATGGAGGAGACGCATAGAAAGGGGAAATGTCCTTTTTATGTGTGTTTCTTCCTCCGTCAAGTAAAGGTAGACTACGCATCTGCAATTGTGGATGTTTATGGGCAGCAGTCGCTTTACATTTTGGTGGATTCAGGTGGCCGCTTGCTCATTTGCCACCTTATTTTATAAAAAGAACAAATCCAAAAAAAACTTGATAATAGTAAAGCAAAGCATTTTTAAGTAAGGGCCAAATAAATTTGACACAAAAAATTCAATTGTTTAATTTTTATTATAGTTTTAAAATGAACTAAAATTACATACAAGCTTTAACAGATGTGGATTTTTTAAAAGTATTGAAATGTTTTACTATATGCTGCTTTTTTTAAGAATAGTTTTTATATATTTTCTTCAAGACTTCAAACATATATGAAATTAATTTTTGTATAAGCACATTCCACATATTTCAAATTGAATAGGTCAACAATATGGTACTTTTTCAATTACTGATACTACATATATTTGACCCTAGGTTTCCACTGCAGAACTAACCAAATTAACATTTTTCTTGTTTTATTATGGTAGTGGGTACCTGCACTTAGCACCTTATAAGTGTTGGGTCTAATATCTAAATATTTTTTCTACATTCCTGCCATATCTTAACTATCCGGACGCATAACACATATGTAGTTAAAATGTTAGTGTAGTTTAGAGTATGTTTCTGTATGTTAGTGGTTGTTGATAATTGTGATAGTCTAGTTTTTAAAAAATAACTAATAGAAAATAATCAGTGAACGGAAACAGTTTAGTGCATATTTGCAGTGTACTGTATGCTTGGGACGTCGGCTCCCGTCGGTGGCTCAGATACGAGTGACTTGCTGGCATGACACCATGACAAGTAAACAGTGTGGCCATACACTACATGCAGTAAATTAAAACTTTTAAACAATTAATTTGTCTGTAACTCGAAACTATATTTTCTTGTTTGTTTTTCACATAATAAAGGAAAAATATATAGGCGGACAAATAAATTGTATTACTCAGCATGCTTCTTAGTTAAGAATTTTATTTATTGCTTTACTTGCCCTCAAGGACTATTGTTGTATAAAACATTTCAAATATCTTGTCAGCTCAAGGTTTACAGCGACATCTACATAGTGATCTACATTAGTGATGTTCCGAGCCGATAAGATACTTGAAAAAATGATTTCAATTCTTTTTTCATTGTAATAAGATCTTATGTTAACATTAATACTAGTCTTATAATCAAATGAATTTATATTTTGTCATTCATCACAATTTTATCATAAAAAGTTTTTATTTTACTTTAAAAATAATTAACTCTATTATAGGCCTTTTAAATCTACACTAATCGACTGTTTAAACATAAAATGACTAATTACAATTAAAAAAAATGTATTTCCAACTGTAATAACTTTTGTAAAATTGATTGGCGATCTCATTTTGTTTATGCAATGATCGAATAAATTCATTTACCAATAATGATTTATTTTATTTCTTATGCATAACCTCAAAAGTAGGTAAAAAATTGCCCATTTCTATTTATCTAAACTTGCAACTTTTAATGTCCCCAAACGGCTCAATCTTGATCTCAATTGTCTATTTTTTAATGTTCTCATTTTTTCCTTTTTAACCCTTTTCATTGGTACGGTTAGTGTTTTGACTACAGTTTGATTTGACTTTGAGGTCATCTCATTTGATTCACCCTCGTTAATTATCTCTATTTCATATTCTCCAGTATTATTTATTAATACTGGTAAAGATTTGACTATTGGAGTTTCTGTTATATTTTCATTATCACTTGATTCACAATCAGAATATGATATATGTAATTCTATATCAGCTTCGTCTTCACTTTTCACATCCGTTTCGTCTTCGTTTTTTTTTATTTTTTTACTTTTATTCTCGTTAGGTGATGGTTGTCTTTTTTTATTTGAGTCACATTTTTCCAATTGTTTACCACTACATGCAACACCCTTACGCTCTTCTTGTTTCGTTTTTGTTACTTTTTTTCTGAAAATACAATCATATTATAAATGCGAAAGTTTAGATGGATGTTTGTTAGAGTTTGTAGTCTAAACTGCTGAACGGATTTCGATGAAATTTGGCATAGATGTAGGGGATAGTCAGGAATACATAGGCTTTTCACTTTTGTTTGTAATTACAGCCTTATTAACGTTATCTGTTAAGAGTCTTAAGTTCTAATTTCTATTTATTTTTACTATAAACAAATCTTTAAAAATTGATCAGTGACAGAGAACTTCAAGAAATTAGGCTCTCACATATAACAAAATTGGAGTGTCTTTGTAATATCAAAAGAAAAATTCTCGATCGCGTAAAAATGATGTATTTGTCTGTCTGTCTGTCCACAAGCCGCATTAGTTCCGATTAATCTCCGAAACGGCTGGGCCGATTTCGACAGGACTTTCACGGAATCGTAGCTGACATGGACATATTCCATAGACAAAGTTGCGGGCAACAGCTAGTCATAAATGGACTATAGTTTGTAGTCAACATTAAAAATTAAACCAAGAAATCCTGTACATTACCTATTGTCAACTCCTGTAAGGTGTTTTAATGGATTCACAACTTCTTTCATTGCTTTCATTTTAATTTCTTCCACTGAATTCAAATGTGTCTTTTCAGTTTTCACATTATCTTCATCTAAAATACACAATATGTTATTTTATGTATATTATATTAAACAAAATTTATTTAGTTTAGTTAAAAAAAATAATTCATTGTTTTAGAATACTTATATAGATGGTGGAATAAATACGAGTCTCGGTAACTTGGGTTTCTTGTTTATTAATTAAGGTTAAATTATTTTAAACCTTAATATAAATAATTGTTTATTTTTAAAGTGAAATAAACAGTGTATTTAAAATTTTAATACATACTGATATCGTCGTCGTCATCTTGGAATCCACTTAAGAGATTTTTAAGTGAGTAACTTAATTCGTCTGATAAATTTTCATCAATATATTGAAGACTTTGATCCACACAACCAGGGCCTGTAAAATACAGAAATCGATTAATACAGTAGGACCTCGATAACTCAAACCTTGGTAAAATAAAAATCTCTATTACTTCAAAAAATAATATGTTCCCTTCCAATAAGAGCCCAAAACCTATATAGCATAGACCCTTGATAACTTAAAACCTGTATAACTTAAAATATTTTGTGTTTCCCTTGGACTTTAACTTATTGAGGTATCTACTGTACAACATATCGGTTATAGTGACCTTTTTTTTATAAGATAGCAAACGAGCAAGCGGCCACCTGAATCCACCGAAATGGAAAGCGACCGCTGCACATAAACATCCGCAATTACAAATGCGTTGCCTACCCTTAATTGACGGAGGAGACGCACATAAAGAGGACATTTTCCCTTCCTACGAGTCCCCTCCACCGTCAAATACCATATAATGATAATAACATACCCATAACTTCCGCTTTTGCCTCAGTATATTTCTTTGTGATAACTCCGATCTCCCTAATGAGGTCCAGTTCTTCAGTCTGTTGATAGAATACACCCCTACATCGCACCCCCCTCACACTGTCTAAACTTTTAAATCCTAAAAAGTATCATAAATTGTTATTTTATTTATCTTATAACAAGATAAATAAAACAGATTCTTCATTTTCAAACAATGACCCATGGAACTTTGATTTTTTATAACAAGAAACTAGAATTCACCAACTTCCAAGAACTAACTAATATTGCGAATACTCGAGGTAAATGCCTCATAAAAAACAATTGTTATGCAATTAAAAAAAAAACAAGACGAAACAGAACTTTGGGTTACAATTTGCGCTTATTTGGAATTTTACTAAACAAACTTTACCATCCAAATATTTCTTAATAGCTGGCTCCATGCCTCTTTCTCTCTCCGCAGCGTGAAACTGACAAGGTCCTTTAATAAGCACAGATGCCAGTATATATAAAACATCGTACCGTTTCTCTCTTCTAGCAACTGTCTCTATACGTTGAATTGCTGGAATATCTTCAGGTACAAGACGTAAAGATGCGAAATTTTGAAATGGTTGTAAATGCATTAAACTATACACTAAGAACAGACCGGCCACTGACTCCTGTAAAGATAAATTAGCTTGTATCTAGAACTTTCTTTGCAGCAAATTGAAAAATCTAGTAGTAAATATAGCCTGCTAGATTTCGCATAGATTTAAAACAAAACTAGGTAGCCTATTTATTCTTCTAGACTACCATGTACATGTATGGTAAATTTTATAGATGCTACATACATCTGAATTTTCATGTTTATAATGTTGATACTTTTCAAGTGATAAGGTTTCTAATAACAAGAGAATATTTAAGATAGGATCGGTATTTGAATTTAAAGTAAAATACCACCTTTCCTCTTCATACTTTGCTTTTAATTTCTTTTGATGTGGGTTTTTATTAATGGAAGGAAGTAAGGCAATACCTCAAATATAGTTGTATCAGCAACCATGTAATGCTTAGCTATGTGCAACACTTCTTCTGATAGCTCCGCTATTTCCGCCGCTGAGGTCCGTCCTCTGTAACATAAGATATAAATATGTATAATATAAATAATTGTTTCATAATACAGTAGAATCTCGATAAGTTAAAGTCCAATGAAAACACAAAATATTTTAAGTTATGGAGGTTTTAAGTTATCAAGGGTCTATGTTGTAGAGGTTTTGGGTTCTGATGGGAAGGGAACATATTAATTTTTTGAAGTCATAGAGGTTTTTAAGTTACTAAGGTTTGAGTTATTGAAGTTCTACTATATGTGATATATTTGATTTTATATGATAGAAGCATGGTTCGCACTTTTTCAGTACAGGTGGACAGTTGTGATGGCCAGTTATAGATTGTATAGACTCTCTGCCAGTTAATTGACAGTCAAGTTATTGAAAGCTATTTACCAACTGTACTGGCCAAGTGTAATCCACACATTCAGGATGGTAGCAATTGAATCATATGGTATGGTAGACATTTTATAATTACTATATGGGTTTTTATGCTTATTGATCATCTGTATATCTTATTATTGCTGTTCATTAGTACATCAATACGGCAGTTAGTGTTTTATTACGTCACTTTTTATTGTATAGTGACAAATGAGCAACATCCACCACATTTTGCTAATGTAAAGAAGTGATATATTCACAGATGCCTTCCTTACCTTAAATCAACTGAGGAAGAAAGAAATGTAGAAAAAATCACTTACTGATATAAACACCCCATGTTCATTTCCTTCCAAATTCTACAGAACATGTGGTACTCCAGTATATCATGTCGCACTACACACTTTTGTATCAAATTCTCGCAGTCATCTTGGAAACCATCAGCAATATACACATGGCATATTGGATTTCCATCTATAACAATAAAAATTCTTCTTAACAAAGTTATCTCATTTAATACATTGTTAAGAATTACTAATAATTATATCCTGCCTCTATATACGGCATATACTTTTTTTTCATCGAGCTCATAATATCGCTCATTAAATTAAATTACAATAATATATTTTGTAATACTTTCTACTTACATATTTTACTCGTATTTGGTAAGTTAAACGTTTCATAAACTGAACTCGACATTGTCGTATTGTAGTATTTAGTCTATAGAAGGTTGTATTAACGATTTATGTATTATTTATTACCAATACAAAAACAATATTTTAAAAATGTGTAATTTGCCACCGCCGCCATATGCAATTATCCAAAGAGTAGAAAACTAACAACTAAAGATATTGACAGAACTTTTGACATTTTACTCTTAGAAATAGAGATAAGAAATACAGTAACAGATTATACACCAACCTATGTTTTATTTTTTTTATATTGAGAATTTTAGATTTCTGAAAAACCACGTCAGAAACATGGAGCGCAAGTTCGGATTTTTTTGTTGGGTGCATTAATCGACAGGAATTTTCCCATAGGGCCAATCGATCAATAGAATCAGAAAAATTAGAGGATCACTATAAACTCGATCTTTCCTATATTATGTGATATCCAATGATCTGTAATGTTACTAAGAGCAAATAGAAGTTACTTCAACGTTTTCTCCAAATCGAAAATAAAACTATTAATAAAATTACAGGCAAAGTTCAAACATTTATTTGACTACAAAACACTAACCTCTTACATAATACATACATTGGTTTTTAATGCACAGGTAACATTCAATGAATAAAACACTGTTATGCTTACGATTATTTAATTGATTGAATACGATTTTAGAAATCAAACTAGCGCATCTGCGGTCTTATTCAATCTTTGTACATTCAGTACAGAAAGGAACAAATTGACAACGAAATGCTGTGCGGCTGTCGAGATGCTAATTATTGTAATCACTACTATAACGTTAAACTAAAATCGACGTTTAGAGAGGTGACTTCTCGATAAGTTTGTACCAGTGACCGCACTCGCAGCGGCGTGGGTGGTCCTGGAAATTAAAAAAAACTTATCTAGGGTTAAGGATTTCAAAATATTTTTTTCATTTATTTCAATCAGTGAAAAACTAATTATTACTAAGGTGTTAATGCTTAAAATTGCTCAATGCGTAAGTTTTACGTTTACTATATAAGGGGAAAGAAATTGTATTTTTGTATGTTACTAATAAACTAAAAAAACTACTGGACCAATTTAAAAACTATTATATAAACAACAGAGGAGCAAGCAAAAATTAATCTATTGTTAATAACAAGAGGAATATAATAAATTTTGTAAAAACATGTGTATTGTTTTATTCTAAGTCACGACAATGCAAAAACTTACACATAAATTTGTAATTATTTACATTCTTATGTTACATAATAATTGCTCTTAGATATGTACATAAGCATTTAAATGCTTATTAGATGACTTGAAGATTGAAAGAAAAGTCAAATTCCTAAACTTTTAATAATACTAGCTGTTGTTTGTGACTTCTCCTGTGTGTAATTAAAAATTATAGCCTGTCATTACAGATAAATTACCTTTCTTCCACCATTTTTTTTTGGCCTAGTAGTTTTTATGTGAATCAAATACAAATATCCAAAAGTACAATTTCTATTTTACAATATCAGTATAGAAATAGATTATAAGACTATAGAAAACTAGCTTTTCCCATGTGGCTTTATCTTTGTGGAATTATAAAAAAAATATTTTATTGCTTACATTTGTCAAATTCTTAATTGCAAATGTCAAAATACCAATTACCTTACTATGGCAATTTTGCTTTCTTGATGTTGGCAGCAACTTGTGGTCTCTTACCCACATTAGGGTTTTTATTAAAATATTTATCCCCTAAGTTTAATGGCGTTGAAATATATAGCCTAAAGTGTGACGTAAGTGTAGGGCTTTTTATTAAAAAAAGAATTATTCAAAAATATGGTGTAATTGCTGACATTTTAGGCAACAAAGAAGTGTGTGTTTACACTTTATTATAATAGTATAGAAGTATAGATTATAGCTTACCTTATGTACCCAAAGCCAGTTGATAGCTGTTGAGTGTTCTTCACCTGAAAAATTAAATATTGTGATTAAATGATTTACTATTACATAACTAAACACTGCTAACATCTATCTCTGTTTTTAAGAAAAAGAATAAGTGAGATAACAATAATTTTCTATTTCAGCTGCAAAAAACATTATATAATTAAATAATGTATGTTTGCAATTCCTTAACATTTCTTAATTTACTTATACAGCAGATTTATGAGTAATATTACATATAATAATAATTAGTTCTTATATTAAAATCTTAGTTGTAATAACTTAAAAATGCACAAACAAAAAAAATTAAATTGTTTTTACTTAAGAGAAAAATAATTACAATAGGAAAGGATATAATACTGAGAAAATTACATAGAACATCCATAACTAATGTGCAATCAAGTTGATGTAGAATGTGGATGTATGGATGATTCTAAGAGAAGTCTGTTTCTGCTGGTCCCATTGAGTGTACACTGTATATGTGATTTATATTAACTTACATATGCAGCCAACAATACGCGCATCGAAACAGGATGGAACAAGTGTGGGGTCCTGGCGTGTGCCTGCAGCCTTCTTGAGCATCTTCATGTTAAAGGGATCATCGTTACCAGCTTGTAATGCTAGCAGTTCCTTCTTCTCTAGACCAGTAGCATGCTCCATGGGATCAGACATCACTGTAGAATAATAAAGAAGATTAATATTTTTCTAGTTCATAATATTTATTGATTAAAAAATATTTAATATTTTTATTAGTTCATAAATAATTTCTCCTTATTAAGAACATTTTAATTTTCTCCCAAAATGTTGTTAAAAATATGATTATTTAGGTTAGTGTTTTTACATAACTATTTTAGTTTGAATCATATAAAGAAGTATTTAATCTACACATGAAAACTGTTATTAAAAAATTACCAGATTATAGAAATTTGTTAACTATGTTTTATACACGTAAATCGAATTGTTATCAAAAGATATTTATGTCGATTTCGTGATAACATTTCTAACCTATAACATATAGCATAAATAGAGTAATTTGATTAAAATATTGAACAAAACGCATCAAGTCTTTTGTAAATTAAATGCATTTCAGCTGATATACATAGAACTTTTTCAATAAGGAACTATAAAAATCAATAAAATGTGGTTTACATGACGTTTAGCTGAAGGACAAGTTTTTTTTTCATGATTAAGTAACTGTCAATCGGTAAAATTTTAAAACATAATAAATATTAACAAAAATTGATAAGTGTTGTATAATTTTAAAAGGGAATTTGTTGTTTTATTATTTTTATTGGAAAATTTGACATTACGTAACTAAAATTTGACAGGTAAGGAAAACTGAAATAAATAAATTGTATTCTTACTTTTGTCAGCATATCCCCGTCGGGCAGTGGATAAAATAAGATTTTTGCAGGCATTTGCGCGAAATATTTGTCTGCACAAGGAAGCCATGGTTAGTAAACGTTTCACAATTTTATCACTAGACCGCTTCTCACGGCAGCAAGTGGAAAAGATTGTCTCTGGTGTTGCAACACCAAAAAACCTTAAAAAGACAATCGGTGTTAATGTTGCACTCTTTACGGGAAAATTTATTCGGCACCATTCACACAACTCGCTTTAGTTTTTAACTGGAAAATATTCACTGATACAAAATACTAATTAAAAACAGCGTAAAAATATAATATATGAAATAGTTGGGTTTAAATGAGTCAACTCTGTAGTACTACTTCCATTCTAATCCTTTCTCCTTTCTTCTATTATAAACCCTCATGCTCATGAATGATTGTTATAGTATCATTTTGGAAGCAGTATCTTGTATTTAAATATCATATTATTTGTCTCCCATTCATCAAAATAAGTAAACTTATCAGAAATTCTTCAGGTATTTTTAACAAGTAATAAAAAGAGAACACTTTTCTTAGAAGGGTTCTAATTAAAAATGCTAAAAATCTTCACATATATCTTTTTAATTGGAAGAAACTTCAAAATTATTTACATTATAATTAGTTCAGATTAAAATATTTGAAGAACACCAAAAATGTATTTCTCAACAAATGTAATCTATGTTAACATTGCGAAAAACGAACAACTATTTAATTTTTGACAAAATCCACATCGCTATTTGCATGGTTCATAATTCAATTAAATATTTTGTACTTTTCACACTGTACTATTTAAACATTGTTTTTTTACTATAATAAAGATTGTGGTCCGTTTCAAAATAAAGGCCATCAGGAGCTGTAAATAAACAGAAGTGAATTAAATCAGAATTAAAATATTCCGGTGTAATAAAAGTCTTTATTTCTTACCGTTAGCATAAATTGTATTTTTTGTCTGACCTTGTGTATCTTATTAATACACAAGAAGAAAGATGGTATTATTTTCATACGAAATCAGTTTCGCGTTCGACCGCTTCTTTGTATAAAACAACCTTTGAATGAATTTAATCGGACATCGATTTCGCCATCTTCAAGCTGTGAAAAATGTGAAAGGATTGTATATAGAAATTTATTACAACTTGGATGTCTAAGTAATATTAACAACAATCTATGTTAACTTACAGGATCATTTAAGTAAAGCTCTCTGTAACAAGATGGTGAAACACATTCCCTGATGCAGCGAGTTCTCGCTAAACCATTCATATGACTACATGCACTACTTTGCTCGCAAGCTGTTTCAAATTCTCGAAACGTCATTTCCTGAAATAATTATGTTGCATTATGGAACTAACAAAAATAAAGCACACACCATTAAAGCCGCGGACGTACGTTTTTAGGTGTATCTTTATATGGGAATTCTTTAAATGTAAATGTAACAGCAGTTGGTTCACACATAACACTTTTGTGTAATTCAATATAAATGTAAACGATCCATATTAACGATATTCGTAACATGTTTAAGTTAATACAGTATAAGCCTTTTAGCAACTTAGCGCGTTTTCAAAAAATCAATAGTTGCGCGTTGCGTTTGTTGTTCACGTAACTATAGTGTAAACTTCATCTTTGTCTCTTCTTTTAAGTTGATTTAATGCGAAGATCAAGTTGAAATTTTCAGTAAACTAAAAAAAACGTGCAAATCTTAAATAACAAAATATTAAATTACGTTCTGAGTAAGAAAAATGAATGCCGAATGCGGAATGCCCCAACACTTCACATATAGAAATTTATTAAAGCGGCCAATAAGAAAGTAATTACCCAAGTACCCTTATACAGAATTTGCATTTTTTGGTTTACTGCAACTTGTATTTGGCACCTCAGGAATTGTGCAAGCACAAAAAATGCTATAGTTGCTCTGTGTAAAAAGCACATCGGTTGTCTCTGGTATGATGAAAGTGTTACGTATTTGGACAGATCAAGAAAGAGCAAGTTGATATTTGTGTTGTTTGAAATTGAATGTGCCCGAGTGTAAAGATTTGGATATTAATTTTATCAAAAGAGTGATTTTGTTTGTTTTTTTAATTTTTTAAAGTGTTTGTGCCTCTTGTTATATTTTTTTAGATCGATATAAGTTTGGTCCTTTATTCCTATTGGAAAGGAAATTGTCACAATTAATCGAATTTGGTAAGTATTAAATTTTATATTTATTTAATAGTATCGAACAGAAATCCAATGAGGAATGATGTAAAGTTTTTAAACAAATAGCAGAAACACCATTTGATTTCTGCGAATTATATTTTGCTTTCCTTTGTTTCCTATATCGTGCCAATATCTTCATATTTTTAATATAATTCGAGCAATACTCACTTTTTCTATTAATGTTATCGTTACAGAGCCTAAAACGATATTTTTTTTTTCTGTTTACAAGTATGAAATGACTAATATCTTAAACATATGCTGTATCTTGCTAAGTACACACTTACATATCTAAGTTAGATTTTAATGAAATAATTCTTGTCACTCTTTAATCTCTGACTCTATTGTCAACAAATCCTTTTTTTTGCCACAAAGCCTAGTCATGAATATGTAATTCTTGTGATTTAGCACTGGCCCAATTTACAAAGGTGCAGCCATAATCAAGCAAAAGTTTTTGGAAAAAAAGTTGACTATGGTTAAGCAATAAATTGCTTACATGTTTGGCTCTTACTAAACAAATATATAGAAAAAATAGATAACTACATAAACAGTATGTTTCCGTATGCAGTACTTATGGTTTCATTTGCCATAAACTATGTACTATTTTAAACAAACTGAGTTTGTATTGTGGGATCTGTCATCATGTGTAAATTAGCTACCTTTTCATACATTTTCCATTCTTACTTTCTTTATCTACCTTTGTAGCCAGCCTTCTTACAAATAATTAAGGATTTTAAAACTTGAAATATTTTTTACTCCTCAGATCTACTTTTTAAAAGGTAACATTTTGAAATTACTGCAAAGTATCGGCTAAACCAAGAAAACGAAATGCTTGAAATTCATAAAGTGAAAGTATTACATTTATATTTATTGATATATTGCTTGTATGTTTAAAACATTCCATTTCAATATAAAATGTTTTGCTAAAGAATTGAATGTTTTGTAAGCAATGTTAACACTTCACTGTTTTTCACTGACACATAATGACCTGACTCTGGTGCATTCGGTGCAAGTGTACTCAGGAGAATATAACACTAATCTGAAACGAACCTTATGTGTGTAGTAATAGAATATGTTTTCCATTGATATGTTCTTCCTATGTATTATTTGATGTTGCAACTTTGATACTTAGGCTTAGTATTTTAAGAGCTATTTTCGTTTGGTGTTTTTAACGCGGTCGTTTTTCGATGTGGCTAATATATCCAAACAACCTAGAGTTTTTTAGCTGTTTTGCTTATTTATGCTGGAGCTTGTTTTCCTTAATGTTGGTTTTTGTTAGTTTCGAGATACAAATTATGGTGTTTATTGAAACTTATTATAAAAAATCCAATATATGCGAGATACGGTAATGTAGATTGCATCCACTTATTCATGCAAACCCAAGGTTAAACCAGTACTTGGATTATATTTACTTAAACAGCACATATAAGGTGTTTTACATATTTTAAGGTGAAATTTTATGTTTCGTGGCCACCACTATCTGCCAACATTGGCAAAACGTTTTATAAAAATTACAATTAGAGATACATGATGAAATATGTGAAAATGTTAATACATTTCATCCAAACAGTATGAAAAGGATGTTTCGATATCACTTACTTCTAGTTGGAAGTTTGTTAGAGTTAGTAGTCTAAACTGCTGAACAGATGTTGATAAAATTTGGCATAGACATAGAGTATTGTCTGGAAGAACACATAAGCTACTTATGTTTTTTATAATTATACATGGATAGAGTCACGGACGGAAGCTATTTTTCTATAATAGGTTAAAAACAGAATTCTCCATAAAACCTAAGTATCCAATATTAAATCGTTCAAATGTTTTGCATCATTATAGTACAAGTTCCATTAATCATGTGTGTTCTGTATTTGTTGTCATAATATTGAATGTTTGAATAGCTTTTGTTGTTGAATAGACACTAGAGGCTTGGTATGTCACGACCTTATTGCTTACTGATGTGTTTGACGGTTGAGATAGTCGGGGACATTTATTTTCTACCCATTTTGGTGAAATTTTTATAAACTAGAGATCTATTCAACTGTTTTATTTACAAACTCTAGCAAATGTCTATCCACCCATATGAACTTTCGCATTTATAATATAGGTAAGATTGCTTTAGGTAGCTAAAGCAGTGTGGTGATGCATATTTATGATAAAATAATACCACCGGTTTAACCAAACTATATTTAGGTTAATACTAATATTTATGGTAATATGATATTAAGGGCCTGTCCCACAGCTGGCTGATAAAGGCCCAGATAGCTTAAAAACGTCGTTAATATCATAAGGTAACAAAATTCGATATTTCCATCACATATTTTACATGTTGTATTGTTATCAGACAATTTGCAAGAATTTGGTAGGACTGATTCTAAATTTTATAGGTTATATGGGAGTTTTTGTAGTCTCCTTTTACCACATATATGTCTTTTAATCATAATAAATGTAAAACAGCTGACTCAGTGTATTGTATCAATAGAATCGCGTCACTGGCGATATTTCATTCAGTGTATTTAGCGTCGGTGCATCGAGTGCGTGCGTACTTACACGGTGAGTCGATGTGTTTTATTTATGTATCTATGGGCTTCCTTAGTAACTGTTTATGGCTATTGTTTGAATCATACGTAGTGTCAGTCCTACCAAATTGTAAATTGTCTGATAATAATCGAATATGTAAAATATCGGATCCAAATGCAGGAATTTTTCTGATTTTCAATGTTCCGTATACATTTGTTATAGGAACTATTCAGGTAAATAATAAGATACAATTATTGTGAAAAATTGTCGCCTATTTCGTCACGTTCTAGACAAGGAAAGAAGCAATTTTGTGTAGATCGTTACAAGATAACCGTGAATTTCCCCTGTTGAAAAACCTGTACGAAATTAGATATTGTCATCTCTTTTTTTTCAGGGAGTTTGAGAGGGATGGCAATATGTTTTTGTGTGTGTTTCGGCAATAGAAACTTGGTATCAATATTCTGATAAATGTTAACGGTTTAGGACATATGCACTTATCGCACCGGTGTTAATTTTTTTTTTGAAAAATGAACCTTTTGTTTTCGCAACAGAGAATATTTTCGTACAATTCAAGTATAATGTTGCTTTTTGTTGTTTCGTCTTCATGGAATTTACAAGTCATAATTACGTATTTGATAAGAACGATATTGCTTACAATTTTTTTAATTTTTTTTTTCATGTTCAAGTTCGATTTTACTATGTGGAGTTAAGGAATTAATTTTGCTCCCCACACATCAATTTGACACCTATATAATACTAGCTTTTGCTCGCGACTTTACCGCCGTAAAATAAAAAGAAATAGCCTATGTTACTCACAGTTAAATTACCTTTCTAACGGTGAAAGAATTTTTAAAATCTGCCCAGTAGTTTTTGAGTTTTTCATACATACAAAAATACAATTCTTTCCTCTTTATAATAATAGTATTTTGCTATGACAAGCTTTTGATTTAATCGTCAGCGTCAAATGATATTTTATTCAAATGTGTAGGTATACGTTGCACTAGCGCTACAGCAACTGTAGTGGAAACGAGTCTTAAGTGCTTACACTCATATCTATTAATACCCTGCATTATCTAACCTTTTGAAGTATTCCCCTCATAGATGTTACGAGAAAATGCCGTGCGGGGAAGGTCGTTTGAATATAGTGTTATACGCATAAATAGTGTAGCTAATATAGGTCTATTTACCTTGATATTTACATAACTACAATAGATTACTGTTTTATCGAGTTTTTTCATTTAAAAGGAAACAAAAGAAGTTCAAAAATGTATACGAAAGAATCAAGCCAAAACAAATGATAGATCAAAAACGACTAAAATCTGCTGTCTCCCTCTTACATTAAAAGTAGAATAAGGACAGATGATCATTATTTGGTTCAACTTTACAACAACCGTAGTACAACACCATATAGCTCGATTCTGTACTAGTGTGGCCTTTTTTATTGTTTTAAACAAAAAAATAATTGTAACTAGCATAGTTAACTTAAATACGCAGAGCTACACCCGCCAGGATGGCGCGCTATTCCAATACGTCTGATGACATTGACAGCTGTCAGATAGGGACGGGACGTATATGCCGATAATCTAGTGTTGCGCCAATCCTCGAACGCCGTACTGATTTTCTTAACAGTAGGGATGTAGAGATTTATAACAGCTTCGCAATAACGTTAAATAGTTGGACCACGTCCAAACTATCGGCTTATTACACAGTTCTTATTGAAATGTACAAGCCCTAATTTCTAAATTCGACGACCGAATTTTAAATTGTATGTTTTATTTCTAACCAACTTTTGTGACCTCGTTTGCGTTGAAAGTGAAATATAAATTGTTAGTAGCCTATTTGTTCTAGGTACTTCTAGATAGTGTTCTATATTTACACCAAATTTCATTTATATCCTTGCTATAATTCTGGGGTACCTTCTAACAAATGTCCAAAATTTTTGCATTTATAATACTGCCGCTATTTTTCTCTTTTTCTTCTTGTCTTTCACACTTAAGTGTATTTAGCCACAACTGCCGCTTACTTATTCAAAGTTTGTAAGTCAATTATAGTCGGTTTCTGAGGTTCGTTTAACCATTCGTTAATCTTTTTGATTCTATAACTTGTGAAATGTCTTTCGAGAATTACTTCGTTGAAAAATATTCAGTCTAACAATAATGAATCAATAGGCGATGTCAAAATAAATGAAAACTTCAGAAACCAAGCATTAGAGCTCATAATATAGTATTTACGTAAAAACGACCTTCATTGCAGCATTTGACATCATATACCTCATTTAAAATGACATTTCCGAGGAAGTAATTAGGAATGTTTTGCGCGTAATGTAAAAAGTCATTAACTAAATCGTCCTCCTTGCCTTGACCTACGTTTTTAATAGATTAAAGTACGCAGTTATGTTCTAAAAGAAAAATCACGTATTGTTAATATAGGTTAGACTACTTTTCGTCCGCGACTCCGTCCGCGTGGAATTA